ATCCATCATATTTTAGTGCTTAGTAGGAACATCAAGGGTTTGGGGTGAGCCCAAATCAATGTGATATTTGTTGACACACTGTCTGATTTAGTTGTTTATGGGAATGCAGTGGACATAATGTACCTTGACTTCAGCAAATGTTTGACAAATAAAGCGGGCTTTGCACGGTCTGCTGGACGTAGAGCTCCCAGAGGGAGGGGTTCGCTCGAACCCGGATTCCCCACGGGGGGGGGGGAGGAATTCCCCAGGGGGGAAGCCTTGCTCTCTTCACCTTCACTAGGTGCGGTAGAAGGTGTCCTTGGCAATGCTACAATGATTAAACAGGAGAGAGGGAAATGTCAAAATTCATGGTGGCATGATTGGTGTCCCCCCCCATAATTAGCATCCCACCCCCCACCCCATTCCCTTTTTCCACCCACTCACTTGAGAAGAAAATGGAGGGGGGGCAAAGGAAATGGATGCTGCTGGTTCTCGGGGGAGGGGGGGCGTGGCCAGGGCCAGATAGGTCCCCAGCCACGCATTGCAACCCAGACTGTGTTGCCACTCAAACCACTCTTGTCAGTGAGAAGGACCTGGGGAACCTCATCAACAGATTTGCTGCGTTTCTTTGTGGGGGAAGTGGCAGAAACGGAGTCTCCTAGACTCACAATGCCAGCCTCTCCCGCCGGAGCTTCCCCGAGAGAGGCAAACCATTCGGGCGTCCTTTCAAGAACCACTTTGAGGGGAGAGAGAGAGAGAGAAAAAGAAGAGGTGCTCAGGGCCCTTCCAGTTAGGGGGCGCAGCAGTTCAGTCCCTGCATTTCCTTACCGGGTCGCCCCCCAATCCTTTGCCGCGGATCCAACCTTCTCACGCAACAGCCAGGTTGTCTTCAAGTAATCTTTTCCGCTGTTATCCACCAAACACTGGCCCACAAAGACTGCGGTGGATTCTGTCAGATCAAAGTTGTTGTATCAATTGGAGGGGGGATATAGTTCGCATAAAGACACCCCCCCCCACGCTCACCGATGCTATCTTGAGATTGGGAATGTTTTATAGGCTCCAAAATATTTGGGCATCTCCATCTGATGGGGGGGGGAGGAGAGAGGACATTCAGTGAAAGAATCTGCGAGAGGCAGATCTAAGGAAGGGGAGATCCGCTAGATTCCCCCCTCCCGTTCTATTTGCTTCCACACCAAATAGTGAGTGGCTCTACCAGTGAGTATCCAGCTGACGGTGAAGCCAAAGGTGGGCTGGAGCCCCTGATGCTGGATGCCGTGCAGCGGGGATGGAGGGACGGGCTTGCCGGAGCCCGAGACTGCCGTTTTGTACACACCGCTCAACACCCCCGTGTTCCTGACGCTTTTGCTCTCCATGGTGGAGTTGAGGTCATTCTTCCAGCTGCCGTTCAGGGAGCACTAAAGGAGAGCGG